ATAAAAATTATTTGGGCGGAGTTAAAAAGATAGCCTTGCTTACTATCAACATTGCCAACCTTCATTAAACAACACTATTTCAGAATCTTAAAAAAAAAGCATAAGACATGTCACCCATTTACACGTAAAGAATGCCACAAATCGAATATACATGTACGAGGGTTGATCCAAAAGTTCGTGGAATATTTTTATATATTATTCATTTTTAAGTTGAATTGGTTGAATATTACAAATGAAAATATAGACACTTGATGAATATTTTAAATTGAAAAACGATTTAAATATCTATGATAGTAACTCTATGACAGTTGCCATAGAAACGGTTGTTTGGTAATGCGGGGGAGACATTAACACGTACGTTCATTTTCATTTTAATTCTTAATACGTGAAATGAGATTTAAACCGGCCTGTGTGGTATATAAAACGACAATTATGTCATTATCATGATTGCTTGGTTTTTATATAAACCTTTGTGTGAAAGTTTTAATGATTTCACTGGATATTTAATTTATTAATTGATTATTTATTGTTCATCTTTAAGTCGTTAGACAACGTCAAATTTCAGTCAAGTCGTACGGTTTGTGAAAAATCCGGGATCACTCTATCTTAAACACGTATATTATAGACAAAGGCTTGGGGAAAATGCATTTAGTAACTGGTCTTTCGGTGACATGAAAAATTTAAGAAAATAGAACTGCCATGGACGTTGATTAAAGGTGTGGTGGCTTTTTGGAGACTGTTTTAGGTGCAGATCCCCTTAAAAAAATAAAAGCGTTAACGGACGTTGTCGGCTGCAGTACAGTTCTTGACATTACTACTGAAATTGGATCATCATTGGAACATCATATGGAAAGATGGGAAGTAATTTGAAATATGAGTTAAAAATGAAGATAAGTTGGTGCAAGAGGATACCCAGGCTTTTTGGAGAGAAAAAATTAAAAAAAGACAGCTTTTTGTAGAATTACGAATTCAAATTGGAGATTAGGGCGAGTTGCATCTATAACATGACGTGACATATCTAACTGGACGTTACGTCGAAGTCTCCCCCGGGTTTCACAAATATCCATTTTCAGAAAGCTCGAGTGACCTCATTGGTAATTGGAAAGTAGTAAAATTTTCCAATATTGTTGCATTATGACTCTATATTATGAATATGCCTGTTGTTTGCTTTCATCAAATCGCGATAAAATTTTAGAAAGAAATTCCACAAACTTTAGGATCAACCCTTGTATAAATGAAATACTTAAACACAGAAAGTTATAAAATATTAAAACATGATTGAAAGCTAAGCATATTAAAAATAATTTCCTGAATATTACAACAAATCTCTACTAACCAAAAATACGACATAAAAACTGGCGCGACGACAAAAATACTCAGCAAACAGCTACATAGAGGTTTTTTTTTACATCACTCATTTATTAATGTATTAATTCTAAACAGCGTTGCTTCTCGAATCTTGTTCAACGGATCTTGTTGTAACGAATGTTGGTAAGATTCTAGAGCTCCCGGAAAGTCCCCACAATTTTTTGACAGATTCCCAGTATTTGCCACGAAATATCTCTGAGGGGAGGAGGTACATAAACCCCGACATCACAGAGCAGCAGAGTCTGTAGATCCTGTAGGGATTGTTGTGACCTGATTGTGTCACCCAGTCTGTGGTGATTCAGTATTAACATCATGTGTAACATCATTAGAGGTGGAATGAACAGTATATCTATACCATTCTCGTTACTGGTCTTCTGCTCTAGAATTAGTTCATCAATATATATGTACCGATTGTGTAACTCAATACTTATCACTAAAGCATTCCTCATTCTATGACATAGAGACATTCCCACCGTGTAACGTCTAAACATATCTACATTTACATGACGATGGTATATAATGTATGGCTTTGTCATTCTGTCCTGTGTTTTCTGTAAACAAGTGAGTGACTGTTCATATCTACACGTTTTGTAGAAATACATAGCAAGATAAAGAATATCTGAGACACAACCTAATGTACATGACAGTTTTAACAATTTGGATACGTTACTAACTTTGTAATAAATCTTATTTCGATTTTTATGTTGATATACATCACACAGTTTCAGCATGGCAGTGTTACGTAATATCTCTGATGTCATAAATTGTACTGTAGCCTCCTGGATGGACGTCAATCCTTTATTTATCTCTGTTTCAATGTTCTTCATCAGAGCTGGAAATTCTACAGCACTTGAAACTTGATTGGCATTTTCACAAATTTGCTCAAAAAAACAAATTTCAAGTTCAGTGCTAGTAATGATACTGCTCTCGTCAATACAGACTCTCAATGTTCTGTATAAAATGGCCTGACTGAGGAACGGTCTAAACGTTTCACTCAGTAGTAGACTTGGTATATCCTTGCGATATGATTTATGTAACTTATTAAACAATACTGTTTGTATAGCTCCAGTTGATTTAAATCGGAACATATTGTTTTGTGGAATAAAAAAGTTCGGGCATTCTCCAGTAAATACCCAATACATTAATAATTTAAAGCATTCCCAGAAACAAGGCAAAATGTTTTCAGGTGTCCAAGTCAAGAAGCTGTTATATTGAATTACCAAAAATACAGCAGTTTTTGTGAAGTATGAACATAGAATGGGTGAACCTTCATTTGAATTAATCACTTCTTTTAAAAACATTTTTAAAAGACCAGAACATAAAAATTGAGTGTGATTCATTGAATAAACTAGTTTTTGTTCCGCCACAGAGAATGAAATTCTCCATTCTTGTATGTTGTCAGGTGTGCTGCCGATAGGAATAACATGGAACCCAGATCTTAATGTTTCTGACATAACAGCCTCGGACGGCCATCCTTGTTGATGACATCTTTGTATCCATGGTAAAGCTATTGCCGGCCAGTGATGGGATCGAAAACAGAATGCACAATCAAGTTCTAATATTTCATCCTGGCAAAATGTAGAACAAGGTCCATGCGATTTATAAGAAGGGGCGAAATTATAAGACTGTAGGAACTCTAAGTGATTATCGCGGAATAATTTACTAGATATATACACATTGTCATTGATCTCTACACAGAAGGATCTGACTTTTTCATCATTAGATGGACTCATCAGCTTTAGTCTGGTAAATCCCGGTGGTAGATCATCACACTCCATCATGATAACGGTGTGTTGAGCGATACGATAAAGGCTGATCTGAGAGAGATCACATATCACCTTGTGGTCTGGAGGCCAAAACATCCAATCTACATCTGAAGTACTCAGTCTGAATCCCTCACGTCTACTCCCACTATACATTCTGTCTAACCCCTTCATGATATGTACGGGTTTCTTCACCACCTCCACAGTGTCCCTCACATCTCTCCTGATCCTCACTTCTGTAGGACTCCCTATTTTACGAAATAATCCTACATACACAGCCTCTGACAGGTGAAGTATATGATCCATTTAGATGTATAATCTGAAATTTAAAAAGTAGGAATCTTTTATTAATATTGTCATTTTCCTCATTAACTGTTTACAGACTACAGATATATATTGAAGATCAAAATCTCAATCAATAATACATGTATATTTAACCCTTCATCAGTTTTCGATCTGATTGGGACATTCAGTTCCAAAATTAATAATAATTACCGGCCGCCAGGAGGCGGTCGGTTATATGATATGAAAGTTTTAGGAAAAAGAGTACCAAAGACCCAGATTTTTACATCATTTCCTGGTTGAACAAGATGAAGCAGAGTAATAAATGGGTAGGCTTTAGCTGATTGGCTGAATTCAGGTATGTAAATATTTTCATTTTAAAGTAAAAATATTAATGTTTGAAAAAAATGATGGAATGTGGGAATATTACAGAAAACATAGAAATACCAGGGGAGATTGTAGGAGGGGGGATTGATATTTTTGGCGGGGTGTCATTTACTGCCGATCGCTGCAAGTTCTAAATAACTGCAAATTTGACCTATAAACGCCGCGGCACGGTATATTTTTTTCCATGTTTTTAATAAGTGCTTAGAACGAACTTTCAAATGATATCAGAGATTTGTTTGAACGGAGTATAGTAAATTACTGGGAGGGCATAAGGTTTGTATAGAGTTCTATGGGAAATTAATTGGTACTCTTTTCCCTATAGAGACCCCATTTTTTAAAATGTAAAGTGAGCTGAAAGTAATGAAAAGTTATTTTTAGCTATTTATTTGAATATTAAAGACATTTCAAGAGAAAAATTAGCAAAATTTGAATTATTTTTCTGTGGAGTTGGGGTTAGGGGTGAATTGGGTCCTTTGTTGAGATGGGGGGAGGGGGGGTAGAGAGGATGGAAATTGGTAAATCACTGTGCATTTGACATGGCCAGAAGGTGAAGGTAAGTTAAGAAAATGTATCAGACAGCTCTTATGATGAATGTGTATATGTATATACATAAGTTATATATGTATTTTACATGTACATATAACATTTGTATTTATATGATTTGCTATATATGTGTACATTGTGGTGTGTAGGATGGTGAGCTGGTGTTAATTTTTATTTAGTTTCTTATACGTCTGCACGTTTGGTATCTTTTCGAATAATTTATTTGGCATTTAAAAGTGTCTTCAGTGGTGTTCATATGAAAGGATGGCATTTTCTGTCTTGACATCTCATGTCGGTAGTGTATGTGATCCTCTGGATTGCCTCCCTTGGACTGCGGGGGGGGATCAATTTGTAGTTTGGTTGCTTTTACATTGTAGTTACACAAAGGTCTGTGTTTTCCCTTTTTTCGCTCTTTGAACTTTCATCAGGGTGACTCTCTGCAACTCATTTTCTACTGCTTTCCAGTTTTTGTACTTAGAGTTACTTCCCTTAGACTATTACCAGACATGTAGAATTTCTACATGATAAAGTCTTAATTATTGTGAACTTAGGCTTCTGATTTTTTGTCTTGAATTATTGGAATGACATTAAACTGTATGTATCACATTTGACTTTTCTAATATTTACATGTAATTACATGTAATATTGTAAAACATGTACTCCACCCTTGACGGATCCATTTTTTTAACATTCAGCCATGTAGAAGATATGTAATTTGGTAACTTTTTAGAAAAATTGAAAAATATTGCTGTTTTCTTTATGATTTATGCTTAATTTGACTAACTTTATTGATTCATTTTCATTTAAGCACTATAGAGGACTTTCGTCTTTCAGCTTCCTCGGATCCAGGAGAGCTTGGTATCTGATCAGCGGGGGGCATTTTCTCTATATAAGAAGAAGATGGAGACTCGCTACCCACCTGATATATTAAGTCGGACATATTTCTGTACATTGCAGGTAAATTTTCCATTTATTAACTTTCCAGCCTCTTATTGTGGAGTACATTTTGAGGTTTTAAGTCAATTATTGCATTTCTTGATTTTTTACAAATTAATTTGAATTCCCCTTTTTTAAAGCATGAAATTCAATAATGTAGCTTATAGTTGTACTGTATAAGACTATCAGATACTGGACTTTGATTTGTTATCAAAAAGATTTATTTTCTCTTGTCTGAATTAATTGTAAACAAATATATTAGGGGGCACCTGCTATTTCTCTAAGTGTCTTTCACTGAGGGGTGGGGATACTATTTTGTACATATTTAATCAACAGGAGGGGTTAGATAAGAATCATTTAGTACATCAGAGTCTTAAACACCCAATTTTATGTTAACGCCCCCAAAATCTACCTGATTCAAGATCAATAATTTGCCGCCTGTCAATCATTAAAAAAACAATAGCTACTGATTTGATTGACAGGCCAGCTACCCGTGCCACCTGATAGTCTGAGTTTGTGTCTTTTGAAAACGATTGCCTGGTCACGCGTTAAACACTTTCATGTAGCCGCCTTGTATACACGGGAGTTAAAAAGAATCTTGGTAAAATTTTATTTAAAAAGCAATTTAGAATAGCTAATTAAAACATGACTTCATAAAATATTTACTTTCAATCTCAACGGCTACATTGTATTTTAGGCGATATGTCGTCCAAGATATCTGCTGTAGAATTTAGACCGGTCCGTGCACAGAAACGCTATTTGCCGATTAAAATTGGAATATGATAAATAAGAAAATAAATTTAGCACAAGCGGCATGGATAAAAAAAAGTCCTTTATCCCATGTTTTATCTATGTATATATGAATACAATCTACAGCATGTTCCGTTGTAAATGAAATATCAGAAACATGAGTTTCGAGATTGTAACTTTTAGTTCGAATTTCCTAACGTCTGTCAATACCCAATATTCGAAATTAAAAAAGTAAATATATAAAGCCAAAGATTTATTCTTAAAAGTATAAAAGAAATCTTGCAAAGCATAAAAATTTTTAAACACATGTACACCCGGAAATGGTGAATATTTTCGACACTATTGTTGGTCAAAACGTAGGCAGTATTCCTATCGCGGTACCTTGTATATGTTCACACGACGGATAGGCCTATATATGAATGGAATATTTTATTATTTTTTAATTTTAATATTTACACAAGTTCAATTTAATAAAAGATATGTTTACTTTGTAGTTTTTCTCTGTGTTCTTTTCTTCAATTTTAGATTTATTTTTTAAATATAAAATCGATATTTCTATATTACTTTTTTTCTTCATTAAATATCACTGAAAGTATAAATTAAATTTTTTTAAATGAAATATTTCAATTATTTCAAGTAGTGTCACTCAAATTTAGACACGAAACACGGAGTGTTGACCCTGATCACCAGACACAGACTTCCTGTGTACTGCTACGTGTACAGAGATGTTTGACATCTTGGGTATTGGGGGTCTCCAGGTAAATAACACCACTGTTACTTGGACCACTCCCCCTCCTCAGGTAACCGTACGGTATAAAAATTGGGTCTTTAAACACTTTACTTTGCATAAGCATTAAAAAAAATCTATATCAGTTTTTTTAAAACCTTTTAATTTTGCTTAATTAGCTATGATTTATCAAATTTTGGACCTTTTTTCCTTATTCTGGGTAGATTCCACCCCTATGAAAAAATTGACACAATTATGACTTTATATCATTTTATTAACATCAAAAAACAAAATCATGTTATTTCATAAATATTTTATTCATTACAGTCACAACTGTATCCACATTTCATCAGAGGAATGAAAGTTTTTCACTCACTGGAACAATGCTTGCAGCAGGGAGGGGTCATTGATTAAGATGGTCACAGATTCCAAGACACTGAAGTGACAGGTCTCAAATTTCACACATGTATATTGGTAAGTATAAGGTCTTTGAAAATTACAAAATTGACTAATTCTGGGATAGGTAAATATGTAAGTATAGGAAAAAGAGTACCAAAGACCCAGATTTTTACATCATTTCCTGGTTGAACAAGATGAAGCAGAGTAATAAATGGGTAGGCTTTAGCTGATTGGCTGAATTCAGGTATGTAAATATTTTCATTTTGAAGTAAAAATATTAATGTTTGAAAAAAATGATGGAATGTGGGAATATTACAGAAAACATAGAAGTACCAGGGGAGATTGTAGGAGGAGGGATTGATATTTTTGGCAGGGTGTCATTTACTGCCGATCGCTGCAAGTTCTAAATAACTGCAAATTCTACCAAATCAACAATGCTGAGGAATACCATGAGATGTGACGTAGCCATCACGTAATTCAGTGCGTAGTAAACAGTCATTCGAGCATAGCCGCCATTCTCGGAGCAGAGAAAATTTTTAGCGTTATTTCCTATTTTGATTACGAATTTGGAGGATTTTTATTTTTTTGCTTTAGTTTTATCCAGGACATCGTGTTTACAATTGGAGAAGTCCTTCAACGTGGTCGCAACGTGACTTTGTTTAGGGTCATAAGCCCTGACCCAAATCCTTTGTGAACAATGGCCAATCAGGCCGAGCGACCTTCTCTGAATAATTCAGTAGAGGCTGTCTTCGACAGTGTGGTCGCGGGCATTTCAGCCCAGCAGAACAGTGGTTTTCAAACTTTAACTGTGGTTCCTGAAGCAATTTCTGAGGAAATTGTAGAATCGTTTGACTCGATTGATTATGTAAGATCGGCTGGAGATACTCAGGTTTCAAGGGGCGGGGCGTCAAAAACCGCCAAAACAATGAGTGACAGACCGAGCACAGAACACATATCCCAGAATTCCCAAAAAAAAAACAAACAACATGGCCGACGAAGACGATCTTTATTGGAAAAAATTATTTTTCCAGAACCAGAAAATGTTGCAGGAATTTATGCAATCAAAAAGATTGGCGCAGACAGAACCTCCAGTGCCAAACAAAATACAGAAGGCAAGTTTTACACATGCCTTAGTTTTTAAAAA